CCGGGCGGAAACACGAGCCGGGTAGGAAGGGGCCGGGGGGGGGGAGGCAGCGCTGTCCCAGCATCGCGGTGCTGAACGCCACGAGTGGGGCTCCCACTGGCTTCCGCTCCTGGGTTTCACCGCCTTCAGCCACCGATCAGCCCAGACGCTGCGGCCTCCTTGACTGGGCCAGGATCCCATTAAGCCCATCTGCGAAGCGGGGAAGAGATCCAGGTACAGCGAGACCAGCTGTGCTCAGCACCCCTGCCCCCACAGCAGGGGAAACCCTGGAGCAGGACTGGCACCAAAAAGAAACAAGTCCAGTCTCAAAAGGCGCTGAAAAGTCGCAGTTCCATGGCCCGGGAGGCTGTACAGGCAGGGCCCAAGCAGCTTTAGGCCCCAGCTGAGACACGGGGGCGCGCCTGCAGGCCCCATTGCTCTTTGCTGGCCCTCTGCGAGTGGGGTGGAAGGAGACCCCTCAACAGCCAAGGCCCCAGCCCCAAGCTGGCTCCAGGCCTGGCAGTCTCTGCAAAAAAACAACAGAGACAAAAATCTTCCTGTTGATAAATGGAGGCTGTGCAGGGGGGGTGGTAGGGACAGGAAACAAATCAACCCCGCTCCACCAGCTGCGCTGCCCTGCTGGCATCAACGCACAGGGTCAAGCCCCTGCCGGGACCACCATAGGCCATCAGGGCCCTGCCGGGCCCACCGCAGAAGGTCAAGGGGGCACTGCCAGTGCCTTCTAAAAAGCACTTCTCGACCCAACCGGCACATCACCGAACGACTGAAGCCGAAGGGGCAGCTCGCATCTTTAGGATGGAGACAAAACAAGGCTCTGCCTTCTCCGTGTAAAGCTGCCGGACCCACCATGCCCCTGGGAATGCCCTGTACTAAGGAATATGCAGAGAAAGCCCCAGGAGCCCGAACTTCAGAAGCTGGACTTGGGCAACCCCCTGGGCCAGGAGGCAATTTGACACAAGTGTTTAGAGAGCAGACACTGGGCACTGCAGAGACAGGGCAGATCTGAGCTAGTGGCAGAGCCAGAGGAGGCACTAACTCCCTCACCCCCACCCAGCTGAACCCTGCATCCAGAAGCAGCAATGAGGAAGAGTCAAAGCACAAAGGAACGGAGACCACCCCCACCACCCCTCTGCACAGGGCAGCGGAGCCAAAGACCGGCTAAGCTGCAGAAGAGAAGCCTTTCCATGCACAGCAACCACCACAGGACTCATTCAGGAGCATGAATATTTATTAAACAATGCTTCAGGCTCTGAACTACAAAATAGCATTCTTGTGCCAGACAGAGGGGGGTGGTATACAAAGAACGAGAGCGATACGGGAGAGCCTAGCGCAGTTCTGTGGGTGGTACATACTGCACGTGCAGCCCACCAGCTGCCAAAGCTCAGGACCCTTTGCCACCGAGAAAAAGTCCATGAACTGCAAGGTTAAAAAAAAAGCTGCAGTGTCACCAAGCCACTGCTTGGCAGATTCGTATCAAAAAAGGAGAGTGACCCAGAGAGCTGGTGGCCACTATGCAAGAGTAGTTAAGTAGGAGAGCCAGGCTCCACTTCACTCGTCATGGGTTTTAATACATTAGTTCGGCATTTCAGTTCACAGATAAACAGAAAGCCTAATGCACCTGTCTGAACGCAGTACTGTGGCAGCTGCATCCAAGCTGTGAATGGTCGGAGCTCCATGGGACGCAAGAGAAACTGCCCAACAGCACCGAGTGCTCCACACAGGGGCCCGCACAGAAGAGAGGCCAAAGACTAAGACTCTCAAAGCGAAACATGGTACTTTACTGGTGAGAGACTGAGGAGGCAATTCCCCAGGAGCAGAGCCAGGACCAACTGGCCAGTGCCACGGGCTGTATCAGAAACTGCATCACAGCCCTTTCCTAGAAAGGGTTTCTCTCTGGTGGGGGAGGGAAGAGGCCAATCGAAGCTAAAAACAGTCTTAAAATTGTCAAGTCGGCCCTCAAACATACCCTCCCCGCAGAGCTGAATACCGGCTGTACGACATGGAGTTTGACGTCTCCTTTACGTAACCGCCAAACAGCACAAGGAAATAAATACGGAGACAAGACAGACCCAGAGGGAAAGACACACAACTCAGCAGGAAAATCATTCCAAGAATGGGAAAGAGAGAGCGCAGCCCTGCCTGGGCAATGCTAGCATTACCACCACCCTACGATTGGGCTCAAGGATAGCCGAGCTGTCCTGAAGGCTGCTCCTGGCTGCGTTTTGCGGTGTCTATAAAATCCTCCCCCCGCCGTCAGGGCACACGTAGAGAGCTGCCCCCAAAGTAAGATGGAGTCACTTCGAAACTAAATCCACACCTGCCCCTAAGTCCCAGTGCCTGGTGGCTCCTAGCCTGAACATTGCTTCCATTTCCACTGAACACTGCAGTGCTGCTTTGTGAGAGCACCACAGAGACAGGGGAAAGCCTGCTCTACAAAGGGACAGGAGCAGGACCGGCCACACGAAACCCCCAGATCCACAAAGGAAAATAAATAGCATTGAACATCCATCCCATTCCTTGGCAGAAATCTAAGACATGGGTTGCGAACACATCTCCACACAGGACGAGGAGATGCAACTTGATGGTGCCTTTAAAACAATCAAGAAAATTACCCTTAAACTGCAATGGAGAAGCTGTCGATGCAAGAGTCACCAAGAATTTTGGCAGCTCTCATGAATTTAAAATTGTTGACACCAGTTCAAGCTCGAAGTGGTAACACTCCCAAAAGGCTGCAGTACAGTTGCCACCTACGAGAACTCAAGACTCTCAGCTAGAAACAGCGGAATCCGCTAGCTTAATTTCCATGACTGAGCTGCACCAGACACAGGATGGATGGAGAGGCAGCATGGCGCAAAGAAGACCAGGATGTCCAGAAATATCCAGTGAAGGGGACTGCAGGGAACAGACAGAGAAATGGGTTTCTAGGAGCCACAGCCTTCTACCTGCCAGCTCATTATTCATTATAACAGAAACAAGCCAAGGCTCTCCCTGCCCTGCTGTGGCAGAAACCACCAAGGAGGAAACATTCCAGCAGCAAAACAAGCATCTACAAGGGGAGGTGGGAAGGTAAAAACCCAGGGAGGCTGGAGGGTGTTGCCAGCCTCTGGTGCAGGCCCCTGCAGCACGTGACCCAGGCACTATCAATCCCAGGATGAGAACCTGAAGAGCCTGCGGCAGGCATTCAGCACCTGCGGCTTAGGGCTTTGCTCCGTGGACAAAAGGGATAACAAAGCCAAGTGTCCAAGTAGTTTATTCTCTGTGAGATACACTGACCGTGTGGCCATGTTAAAAAGGAGTGCTAACAAACCTCTGTTTCCTAGTCAGGTATCTGCAAACATCTCCCTTCCCTCCCTCCCTCCCTCCCACCAACAGACTCCCAAACCCCACAGGGCACCTTCCAGCACTGCCTTTACACCCCCACCCCCATATTACATGTTGTCACTCCCAGCTTTATAAAAA